GGTAGAGAAAATAGTGCAAAAATGAATGAATGAAAACCCAGAATCTCTGTAAATGTTCATTAAAATTAATAAAATTTAATAATTAAAAAAAGAATAGAGCAGAGGATAAGAAAGAGATGGTCCCTGCTCTCCTGGGCTTTCATTATAATAGTAGTCATAAATAACAAATGAAGGAAGAAACAGTGTCTTTATAAATTGAGACAAGGCAATGAAATGATGAGAGGCTCCACAGAAGCACAGGAACATATGTGTTTAAAAGGAAATTGCCTCCAAGGGGACATTTAAGTTGATACCTGAGGGGCCAGTCACGCGAACAGTGGGTAGGAGAGCAGGACAAGATGAACCACAATCTGAGCTGGAAAAAGCTTGAAAGGAGGTAAAGGGAGGCTCAAGATTACGCTGGAGAGTGACTGGGTGTGTCCCAGAGGTCTGGTGGCAGGGCGATCTTATTTGAATTTTAACTGTAACACTCTTGAGATTCAGAGAGACCTTAAAAATAATTTGTTGAATAAGAAATTGATCAGACATTATAATTAACATTATAAAACAATGTTAAAATCTAAAATTCATATTACAATGTTATAATAACTGTAAAAAGAAAAATTAATCATTTGATTTCCAAAAGGTGAAAATGGAAACTGTCCTGAGTAAATGTAATTATAAGGACCCTTGCTGTTGAGGTGATGCCGGCTCGGGATGACCCCATGTGCTGCAGACTAGAACAGCTCCATTGGATTTTCTGGGCTGTGATCTCTACAGAGGGAGGTCACCCGAGCCTTTCTTCTGTGGCACTGATGAGTAGGTTTGAACCACTAACCTTTCCACTAGTAGTCAAGGCCAAAACATTAGTGCAGCTCAGGGACCTTCAAATGATAGGCTTTGGTAATAATACTTTTGGATTTTAATCTAGGTATAGTGAGAAACTGTCCAAGTTTCCCAAGCAGGGAGGTGACCACTCTTTGGTCTCAGGAGGCTCATTTTTTAAGTTTTATAGGGAATTGTATGAGGTGAGAGTGGGTGAGTGAGGCCAATGAGAAGTCATCCCAGCTAGAGGCAGTGAGGCTGGGATCTTGGAAGCGATGTGAAGATGCTAGAAAAGGTCAGATGGGGGCACCTTTTGGATGTACATGGATAACAGTTGGTGATGGATTGGATGAGAGGAAGAAAAAGGCATCAGTGAAGAACTCTAGACTTGAAGTTCCTGTGAAGGGCAGGTGGGGGCACCATTTATGAGCCTGAGAAGACTGTAGAGGTGGTAGTGAGGACAAGCTTATGGGATAAAACATGGAGTTTGCTTTGCAAACTTTATGTCAGGTTTCCCAAGATGTGAACAGGAGTCTGCAGATCAAAGGACAAATGCAGTTATTTCTTTATCACAATTTGTAATAATGATGTATTAATATATTCAGCTAATTAGTCAGTCTTTCAACAGGTATTTTATAGCTCCTCCATATTCAGGTCCTATACTAGCTGGTAAGGATACAGCAGGAGACAATGGTTACATTCCCTTATGGTTGATTCTCAAAGCCAGGGGTACAGATACATTTGCCTCCAGAGAGATAAGCGATGAGCTTTGGCCTTCATAGTGTCAGTCCAGGCCCATGCCTGAGTTCACCACCACTGCCTCTTGTCTGGTATTTCCACTTCCAATCACTGGTGAGAGAGGCACACTATAGAGCATCAAAAAAGCACCCAAACAAAACCATCGATGGACACGTCGAGGCTTTGGGCCCCGATTCCTGGGTGGAGTGAGTGGCTAATAACTGAAAGTGTGAAGGTCCTCCCAAGTCCCTTTGGATAATGACAATAATGACACTCTTGGTTTTGTTTACAGGTGTCAGACAGCGGCATCCCTCCTCTCTCCTCTTTGACATCTGTCAGCGTTCACGTTACAGAACAGAGCCACTATCCACCCTCTGCTCTTCCGCTGGAGATCTTCATCACCATTGGGGAAGAGGAATTCCAGGGCGGCCTGGTGGGTAAAATCCATGCCACGGACCGTGATCCTCAGGACACGTTGACCTATAGCCTGGCGGGAGAGGAGACCCTGAGCAAGCATTTCTCAGTGGGTGCCCCTGATGGCAAAATCATTGCCACCCAGGGACTGCCACGTGGCCGCTATGCATTCAATGTCACCGTCAGCGATGGGTCCTTCACCACAACTGCTGGGGTCCACGTCCATGTGTGGCACATGGGGAAGGAAGCTCTGCAGGAGGCCATGTGGATGGGTTTTCACCAGCTCACTCCGGAGGAGTTAGTGAGCGATCACTGGCGGAACCTGCAAAGGTTCCTCAGCAACAAGCTGGACATCAAAAGAGCCAACATCCACTTGGCCAGCCTCCAGCCTGCAGAGGCCATGGCTGGTGTAGATGTGCTGCTGGTCTTTGAGGGACATTCCAGGACCTCTTACAAGCTTCAGGAATTGGCATCCATCATCACTCGCTCAGCCAAAGAAATAGAGCACGCAGTGGGAATTCAGATGAGGTCAGCCATGCCTGTGGTACCCTGCCAGGGGACAAGCTGCCAGGGTCAAATCTGCCAAGAGCTAGTGCACCTGGACCCCAAGGTTGGACCCACATACAGCACGGCCAGGCTCAGCATCCTGACCCCACGGCACTACCTGAAGAGGAACTGCTCCTGCAATGGTGAGGAACAGCCCCCCCACACCCCCCCACCCCCCAGGGACAACCAGCTCTGCTTGACTGTCTCTGTGTGCTTGACTCTTGTGGTGGACATTGTTGGAAAGGGGCTGAGGGGTAGTTACAGGAAGGTTCTAACAAGGCTAAAGACCACGGACATGCAATAGTCTTACGAAATCTAGTCATGGAATAATAACGCCTTACTCCTGACCACTTTTTGGAATTTTAGAAAACACAAATATAAAAGGCAGTTTAGCATGTGGCTCATACACTCTGGCATTAGACTGCCCGAGTTTAAATCCAAGTTCTACCACTTACTGCCTATACGATCTGAGGAAAATTACTCCACATGCCTTGGGCTCTTGTGGGTTTAAATGAGTATTTTATACCAGGTGCTTTCTTAGCATAGTGCCTGACACAGCAAGTGATCAATAAGTGAGAGCCACTACTGAGGACACATAGTGGCATAACTAGTTAAGCACTTGGTTACTAATCAGAAGGCTGGCAGTTCAAGACTACTCATAAATGCCTTGGAAAAAAAATCTGGTGATCTACTTCCAAAGATCACAGCCATTGGAAACTGTATGGAGCATAGTTCTACATTGGGGTCATATACGTGGGGTCATACATCATGTTAGAATCAACAGGTTTCATTTTAGATTTGGTGTTAACTCTATCACTGTTATACTATGGCATTATGATTATAAACATAAGATTTAGATATAGACAGATCAAGTTCAAACCCTGATTTTATAATTTTTGATGTATACATTTGGATATATTAAGATTCTCTGAGCTTTAGTTTCTCGTCTATAAATGGGAAAATAATGACATCTGGGTCCCAGGGATATAAAAGCCTTTAACCCGTGTATAATGAATCCTGCTGGCACAGTGATTGGGTTCTCACCTGCTAACAGAGATTGGCCGTTCAAACCACCTTAGCACCTCCACAGGAGAAAGGCCTGGTAATCTACTCTCATGAAGATCATAGTCTAGAAAATCCTGGGAGAAGTCCTGTTCTCACATGGGGTAGCAGTGAGTTCAAATTGACTCAGGGACACCCAACAACAACAATAATAACAAAACAAAAACAACCTCCCATAACAAATGTCTAGTCACAGGTGACTGTCATTCACATAGTAGCAGTTGTTGCTTTAAGGACAATGCCAGGTTTTGTGTCCATATGTTGTTGGTGTTGTTAACTGTTATCAAGTTAAGTACAACTCATAGTGACCTTATGAACAACATACTTGAACCCTGTGCTATCCACATCATCTCTGACACACTTGAACTCATGTTTCATTAACTGTGTCAATCTGTATCACTGAGGGTCTTTCTTTCTTTCACTGACCCTCCATTTTTCTAAGCTTGAGGTACCTTTACAAGGAGTAGCCTTTCAAAGCAACATGCCCAAAGTATGTGATACAAACCTTCACCATCCTTGGCTCCAAAAAGCACTCCAGCTGCACTTTTACCAAGACTTATCTGTTCATTCTTTTGACAGTCCATGGAATATTTAATGCTCTTCTCCAACACCACAGTTCAAAGCATCATTTCTTCTATTGTCCTTATTCATTGTCCAGCTCTCAGATGCTTAAGAAGTTATTGAAAAAACCGTGGCCTGAGCTACAACAATTCACCACAACTCTATGAAGTAGAACTCATTAGCTCATTGGAGTTAAAATTTAATGTCTTAGTTACAAGTGTTGCTATAAAAAAATACCACATATTGGTACCTTTAACAAACAAGCTAATTTTCTCACTGTTAGTAGGTGTTAAGAATGAATTCAGGGTACCAGCTCTAGTGGAAGGCCTCTGTTAGCTCTGGAAGAAGGTGTGGTTTTTTGCTTGGCATCTCTCCTCCCCCGTTTGCTCACTTACATGTGCTTAATCTTACTACACACACACACACACACACACACAAACACACACACACTGACTTGAGATGCACCCCACACTAATACTGTCTCAGTAACATAAAAACAAAACCCCACTCTCAAATGGGGTTATAACCAGAAGTACAAAGGTTAGAATTTACAGCATATATTTTTGGGAAACACAATTCCGTCTCTAACACCAAGTATAGGGATTGCATTGTGTTGCCTGAAGTGATATCTGAAGGCCTAATTAAATCCTGGTGTACCCCACTCTATGTCCTAAGCTTTTCGCCAAACTCTTCAGGAGTTCCTTTTATGACTAAGACTTCCCCCCACCCCGCCCCCCCGCCAGTGCCCCTGGCATGAAGGCTGGACTAGTTCAAGAGCACTGGCAAAAGAAAACAACGTGACCTCCAGCTCACCATCACCCTTGACCTGACTGGCAACTTGTGGGTGGATCTGGTTAAATGTAATTGCTTTAAATGATACACATATGCAAAATCTCTGATACTACCTATTCATTCTTCAAATGTTACCAGAAATAACTTTGAAAGCTATATAGGAGGAAAACATGGATTTCCGCAGATGCTGATCCACCTTTGGCTCTGATTGGTCATATTTCTCTCTTGATTTTTCTTTCTTAATGGTTTGAGTTCCTAATTTCTAACACAGGGAAGAACCCAATGCAGGGGTCTTTATAACCAAATGTGTGCAGAATTGCAACTACACTAGCTCTAAATATAAATTTTGCCCTCAATTATCCCTATTATTCTTTTAGTACTTGCAGCATGTGAAGCCGCCATTGGCCTATCACTTCTCATAATTGTATCAAATGTCTACGGCTTAGACTATGTCCATAACCTTAATCTACTACAATACTAAAAATTATTATTCATACTATCATACTCCTGCCACTGACATGATTATAAAAAAATATGCTAGTCTGAACCAACA